CACTCTGTGTGCTCCTAACTTCCTCCTGCCCCCCAACACCTCCCTGCCACCCCCCTGCAACGCCCCCCCCCCAGTTGGTGGAATGAATGTTTAGCTTCTGCTGCTGCAGTGTATCACAGTGCGAAATAAACACGGCTGCCCCATCTACCCTGACAACATAATTCATTTACTGCAAAAGGATATAATAAAGTCTGTTTATTACAGCAATTAACAGAGCAGCATTTGCTGGCATGCTTTTCAGAGGCAGTCTGAAAAGTGCTTACTCCAGGTGCATAGACTCAGCGCAACATGCAACTTGAGCCCAAATGAAACCAATTAGAAGCTTAGTAAAGAGGTCCCAGTCCCCGAGGAAAACCTCACGTTCCAGGAGTCCGTTAGGCCGGGGGAGCCTCAAGGCAGGAGCCAAAGGTTCTTCACTGATCCGTCTCAGGGCAGTGGGTGGGCAGGGGTGGCAGGGGCGGGGTGAATAAAATGCTCTGCTCCCCCCACCTCGTGGCCCCGACCTGCTGGTTCAAATCTCACTGACCCACATCCGACATCTGACATGCGGGTGGGGATGAGTATAATTGACACCTGGGGCCACTAGCATGAAAGTAGGGAAGAGGGCGAGGCCCAGGGGCCGGGTGAGGAAGGAGAGAAGGGTGGCCTTGGGGCTCGAGCGATAGCACAGTGGGTAGGGAGTTTGCCTTGCACGAGGCCAACCCGGGTTCGATTCCCAGCATCCCATATGGTCCCCTGAGCACCGCCAGGAGTAATTCCTGAGTATAGGAGCCAGGAGTAACCCCTGCGCATCACGGGGTGTGAGCCTCCCCCCCAAAAAGAAGGGTGGCCTTCTTTCAACAGCCTGCAAGAGCACCATGGGGTTCAAGAGCCAAAGCCCCAGGGGACTAATATGGCTGCATGGGGGCCGTGGGGAAGGCCAGCTCTGCTCCCTGCTGGCCAGTCCAGTGGCTCATCTGGACCTGGGCGTGAACCCGTCTGCCCTGTACCTGAGGAGAGCAGGGGGGGCAGGGGAGGAATGCCAGGCTCCCAGGCTCCCCAGAAGGTTCTGGGTACCTGATCGCTCCTTCGCCAGACTTGGCCTTCCAGCCCCTCTAGCGAGACTCGGGTTGATCTACACCATCAGAATGCCCTCCAAAACCGGCCGTGTCCCCGAGATGGTGCAGCTGCCATCCCAGTAGAAGGTGAACCCCTGCATGCTTCCTCCGGAGAGTGCTCAGGGGGCATCCCTGCCTCCATGCAAGCAGGAAATGGAGCCCCTGAGCCAACAAAGCGAAAACTGTTGTGAAACAGTCCCCCGGCTGGGGGGACACCCTAGGTCCCCCTTTCCTCCAAGACTTTCCTTCTCAGGCCTTGAAAGACGAGGGCAGGAGCCAGCCTGGCCTCCCTAGAACGGAAAAAGGCAGAGCTCTGAGCATCATGAACAACAGGATAAAAATAGCAGCATTGCCATGGCAACAGAGGCTGGGAGCGTCCTCAGGATCTCGTCCGGGTCCTGCCATCTCCCGCCAGCCTTCCTCCTGCCTCTCTCTCTGCTCAGACAGGACGGAACTGAAGGAGGAGGGATGCACCAGCAACCTACGGACACCCTGGGCTGCCCAGATTTGGGGGCTTCTGACTTTGGGAACTCCTCCCTTGATAAAGCCAATTTTTCCCAGGATGCTCCTTGCAGCCCCCACGGCCCCTTGAGTGGACAGTCCTGACCTGTGGGGTCCCTGTGGACAACCACAATCTCTGCTTCTGCTTCAAGTCTGTGGCTCTGCACCCTCAGGCAATGACAGGGACTCCCAGGCCCAACTGGCCCAACAGCCAGTAGGACACTGGCCTCAGGAGACGAAGAGTACCTGACAAGATCACCTGCTCTGAGCTAGTGTCATGAGAGCTGTAGGGTGCCGTGGGTGTGGGTGCGGGGCAAGGTGAGCCTGATACCCCGTGCTCTCCCCTCGTTCTGCGGGTGGGGCATGACACGCTCCTTGGACAGTCTGCTGCTGGGACATTGTCTGCCCTCTCCTGCTGGCCCAGCAGCCATCTTCAGGGGAAGCGCTGCCAAGCTTGGGAAGGGCCAGGCAGGGCCACTGGACACAGCACCCAGGGTAGCCTTCTCTGATGAAGGCTGGTCTTCAGAACATCGGCTATGCCACAGCAGCTATCACGCGTCTGCGGGTGAGGCGGAAGGAAATAGGGCTCCCATCCCAGAGGAGATGAGGAGTGACATGCTTAGCCCAGGGAACCATGGGTTGCAGCTCTCGTGCCAGGCAGGACCCCAATGCCCGGGTGACATAGACAACAGGGCCAGACGTCTACAAACAGGGACATGAAAGTCTAAGGTACTTCCCATCGTGGAAGGTAAGGATGTGAGGAGCGGAGGCACCCCGCCCTGGAGAGGGGCTCCCAGCGACTGCAGATGGGCAGCCCCTGAGCTGGGTGATGTGCAGGGAGCACCTTTAGAGATGCCATCTACAAGGAGCAGGATGAGAGAGAGAGAAAGAGAGAGAAAGAGAAAGAGAGAGAGAGAGAGAGAGAGAGAGAGAGAGAGAGAGAGAGAGAGAGAGAGAGAATGCACAAAGGGATGGCCTGGACAGGGCCTAGAGATGGATGGGAGTCCAGGTCAAGAGACTTGATCTCCTTGGGGCATTGCTACAGGAGAGTGGAGGCTCAAGGGCAGGGGTGCTGGGGTGGGGTGGCATTCTAGCAGAAGCTCAGGGTGCCCTAGCTTTCCTTTCCCCACCCATGCACCCTTCCCACACGCTAGCTCAGCACTCCCACAGAATTCACCCTTCCAGTCCAGCCCTGGCACTATTTTGGTGGGAAGAGAGGGGAGTCATACCCATTGGTGCTCAGGGCTTGCTCTGCACTTGGGAATCTCTCCTGGAGGTGCTCAAGGGACCATATGGAATGTCAGGGATTGAACCCAGGTGGGCTGCATGCAAGGTAAACGCCCTCCCTCTGTACTATCTCTCCAGCCCCCTCTGCACTCGTGATAGTGGGGGAAACTGAGTCACAGCACTAGGCCAGGAGGAACCTAAGGCCACACAGTGGTCTGTGTGCAAGTAGGTTGTGAGGCAGGTTACGGGGTTCCTAGCTTGACCCCTTACCTCCCACTGGCTACCATATGCATATCCAGTTAGTACAATTACTGCTTTTATTTCAAAAATAAACTCTTCCCATGCATTTCTACAATCCATCTGCTACATTCCACAAGCCCTTCCTGGGAATGAGAAGGAACGGGATATTCTAGGAGAAAGGGCTTCAATCTGACACCAGAAATCTCAGGGTCCCGTAACGAGAACCACAGCACCATCCCAGTTCTTCGTCCCACTGTCCCACTCACAGACATAGGACAAGAGGCAACTCCAGGAGCCCTGCGGGTTGGACACTTGGGCCTCCCTATTTTGGAAGGATTTGTCCCAAGACCCCCAAGGAGGGGGCTAGAGCGACAGCACAGCGGGTAGGGTGTATGCCTTGCATGCGGCCGATCCGGGTTTGATTCCCAGCATCCTATATGGACCACCAGGAATAATTCCTGAGTGCAGAACCAGAAATAACCCCTGTGCATCACCGGGTGTGGCCCAAAAGGAAAAAAAAAAAGAAAGGAGGGAGCACAGGAATTCGCTTGGTGGACAAGGCTCTGAGTGGGCACCACCCTGCAGAGTCACCCCTGCCTGAGGCTGGGAAGATGAGAAGTCCTCTCCTGACCTTTCCTCGGGGTGAGCCAATGTGGTCAGGACACAACACCCAATACCTCTGAGTCTGGGGGTACAATTTCATCCTCCAGCACATGGCTGGCTTCTCTGGGCCTCAGGGTGGCCCGGGAGTGCCAGGGAGGGACACATGCCCCAGGCTTGTGACAGGGCACCCTGACAGCATCTCAGCCTGTCTCTGGTGTCGTCAGGGTGAAGGACAGGGAGTGCCTCTCTCCCTGTGATCACACCGACCTTATGGCTGTCTCCTGGAGGGGAGGGCTTCTGCTGCTGGTTCTTTGGCTAGAAAAGGAAATAAAAGACTGTAGATGACTGGGGCAAAGGACGGGAGGGGACAGGAGCAGAGACACCTTCAGCTGACCCTCACAGCACCCACTTGGATCTCTCCCTGCCCTCAGCATGACCAGGTCAAGGCGCCAGGGGGACATGCCCACGGAGGCTCTCTCCAGCCTTCCCTAAGACCCCAAGACACTGTCTCCTGGTAGGGCTGCTGACGGGGATCAGACCTTATTTATCCCTGGAGAGGGAGTCGGGACGGCCTTGCTCCATCCAGCTGGTCCCGATCTGGAGAGTGTCTGCCAACAGCACTGCTGGCCTGACTTCTGTACTAAGACCCAAGCCCAAGGACATAGGGTGAGCTATGCTGTCATGATGGCCCAAGACAGAGAGAGGGAGGGAGGAAAAGTCCAGGAAGGTCCTAGAGGGATCATCGCCCCCCTACCTGGTCCCCTAAAGGCACCGCATGCAAGCAGTTCCCATTATGGCTTCTGAGACGGGAAGGAAGAGGCGGGAGTGAAGGGCGGGCACAGCCTGGCTAAGGAAGGAGTCCTCTGGTCGTCCCTGAGGAGTGAGGGCGGCTGCCAAGGAGACCTGACAGGGTGACGGGTGCCTAGGTCCAGACAGGGGCGGGGAGTTGCACTTCCCACTACACTCAAGCCTGGTTCACCACTTCCCAAGGCCTGGGGGGTCCCCAGAGGCGGCACATTGTGCACATTGTGTCCGGAGATGTCATCCCCAACCTCCACAGCCTCCCTGGGGCCAGCCCCACTTCCTGTTTCACTCCCTGGCTCCTTGTCCCCCAGGGCAAGAAGGAAACCTCTGTCTCCTTGCCCCAGGGCCTTCTCTGTCTCCAGAAGGCCAGCAGCAGGTCCCAGGTCCTCCTGCAAGGTGAGGCAGAGGGCCTCTCTCCGAGGAGGTCTGGATTAGAGGCCCATCGGCTGGTGTGAAGAACCCAGACAAGGAGGCAGATGCGGGCCAGGCCCACGTGGTCCGTTGAGCGGAGCTGAACGGAGACTCTGCTCCTGGCCCCAGCCAGCAGTGGGCGCGCTCGAGCCCAGAACCTGCAGGGCCCTGGGCGGGTGGGCCTGGCTGCTCACACTGCAGTTTCCCGCTCTCTGGGGACATTCTCCTTCTTCCTCTTCATCTTGCAGAAGCCGTGGAGGCCACAGAAGCAGGCGAAAGTGAACTGGGGCATGCCCTAGGCCAGGCTGGGGGGCTGCTCGCCAGAGAGAATCTGCAGGGAAGAGGCAGGGGTGGGGATGCGGGAGAAAGGCAGGAGAGAGAAGCAAGTTGTGGGTTAACGTCCACAGTCCCCGGGGGTCTGGCTGGACTCGCTGTCACTCTGAGGTTGCCCAGCCCCAGCCCCGCACGCCCCCAAACCACAGTCGCTGGGAAACCTCCTTGGTTCGTGATGTCCTGCTCACATTGGCCGGGGGGCATCCAGCCGTGGTTCTCGCCACACAGCAGTCCAGTGCCAGTAGCTCCAAAGGGTCCTTGGCACCCCCAGGCCACAGAGCCAGATGACCCCAATGAGGGGCTTCCTGGACCTCAAGGAAGGGCCCCCATCAAACCCAGCCTCCCCCCGACGCCTGGGACCCCGCCCAGCCCAGCACCCCTCCGGCTGAGAGAGAACGCTTTTCTGGTTCTGTGCGTTCCTACAAACCCCACCTCCTCAGCAGAGAAGAGACAAGCAGAATTCATTCTACCAACAGGCTGCTTTATTGAGCCCCGAGGCTGGCAGAATTAGGACATGGGAAGAGGTGCCCTGGCACAAGTCTGAGGGAGAGGCTGAGACTTGATTCTCCTGGTGGGCCCTCCCTTGCCCTGGAGCGCAAAGCGCGGTGCTCAGCCTGGAGGTGGCGGTGACACCAAAGCTCTAGGCCTGAGAGAGAGAAAGAGAGAACATCGTCTTCTCCCAACACTCATTTGGGTATCCCTGGCCTGGCCCACCTGCACGGTCCTCCACTCACTTCTCTCCTTGGAGCCAGCAAGTTCGCTCAAGCAGAGTGGCCGGGCCTGCCTTGCGGGCTGGAGCTACTCAGTGGGTCCAAACCTGTGCAGTATGCAGGTGGGTCCCGCCAGGGCCCCTCTTGCAATGGAGAGAGCACTGGGGGCTGGGGTGTGGTGCAGAGGGCAAGGCAGAGCTTGGCTTTGCACACTGAGGACCCGGGTTCAATCCCTGCATCAACAAAGACTAAAACAAAATCACTAGTTGTGGGGCTGGATCGATAGCACGGGGGGGGGGGGGGGGGGGGGGGCTTTGTCTTGCACGCAGCGGACCCGGGTTCGATTCCCAGAATCCCATATGGTCCTCTGAGCACCACCAGGGGTAATTCCTGAGTGCAGAGCCAGGAGTAACCCCTGTGCATCGCCGGGTATGACCCAAAAAGCAAAAAATAAATAAAAAAATGATAATCACTAGTTGTCCTGTGCTCCAGCACTGGGCCCAACTACCAAGTGGCATGGCCTAGGGGGTGGCTCTTGGGAGCGTTCCATAGGGCTGGCCACCCCTGCTCCTTTGGGCAAAAGTCCTTGATGCTTCTGCAGGCGGAGCGTAGGTCTGGCCGGCAGCCCTCATGGGGCAGAGCCCACAGGGGAGCTCAGGGCGCTCCCCTCCAGTCCCCCTCAGTGTCCTGGAGACACAACTAGTGATGGTCATTAATAGGGACACTGTCTTTCCAGTTGCCAGCTGGTGGGCAGGAGGCCCGGCTCCGTCAGCGTGGGTAGGTAGATGGGTTACTTAACCCCCCACTTCCCAGCAACATCACACACCCACTCTCCCGGAGGGGAGAGAGAGCGCAGTGTGTGTGCTCTCGGATATATATATAGAGGCAGGCTAGACACAACTGCTGTATTTCTAAGCCTCCCAATGCAGCCATCTCTGGACACCCCCGGGACAAACCTAGAGAGACGGGATCTAAACCGGGGCTTATATGGCCTGGGTCCTAATCTTGGCTCTGTCTGAGGCCAGGGTGCTGTGTCACTCTACAAGAGTAACCCTACCTCTCTGGGCCTTCGTTTGTCTCAGTGTGGGAGGCTAATCAAGCTTTATACTTAGCGCCCTCCCCTCCTTCCCCCCCCCCCCCAGCCCAGGGAGCTAGAAGGGTGCTGGGAATCAAACAAGATCAGGAGGAGCAGCTGGCGGGGTTCCCTTTGATCAGGAACTGTAGCACACACTTTCCCTGGGGTGAATGTCGAATCAACCAGGAATGCACATGGTTACTGGGAAAATATTCGCAGAGAAACGCAGGTCCAACAGCGCTGATGGGGAAGGAACTCTTAGCCCCAACAAGCTGGGCAAGTAGTTCTGAGCCTCACCCCGCCCGCCTAGCCCAGCTCAGAACCTCTGGTCCCCCAGGGACTGGGACCTCCTTGGCCTCCAAAGCTGCTCTGCCATTAAACAGCCAAATGCAGGCACTGCCCTGACCTCCCCAGGGTTCTTTGGGAAGGATGAGACCAGTCAGCCTTTTGGCTCACCGTACAGTTGTGTGTGTGTGTGTGTGTGTGTGTGTGTGTGTGTGTGTGTTTCCCTCTTTCCTTACTCCAAACTACAATGTAGGTTAGTTTGGAGTAGGAAAAGGAGAAAGAGGGCCTGGAGCAATAGCAAAGCAGGTAGGGCGTTTGCCTTGCAGGTGGCCAACCTGGGTTTGATTCCCAGCATCTCATATGGTCCCCTGAGCACTGCCAGGGGTAATTCCTGAGTGCAGAGCCAGGAGTAAACCCCTGTCCATTGCCAGGTGTGACCTAAAAAGCCACGGGGTGAGAGGCCATCACATTGCCCTTCACCTCCCCCGGCTCAGGTGGTCAGCGCCCCGTCCAGAGACAGACTTTAAAGTGGAGAGACCCCTTCTCATCCCAGCGCCCACACTCCCACCTGGCTGCCTCCAGAGGGAGCTGGGGGCCCCCTAGGCTGGGCTCTGACTCAATCCAGCCTCTTCCCGCCTTGACCCTTCCTCTCCGCACCTGCCCTTCTCCTTGTGTGCTGGTCTCGGAAGCGGCTCTTGCTCCATCTTCTGGAAACGGGGCAGGGGTACCATTGGGGCTGCCGAGGGGTCTCCCGTCCACCCGGGCTTTTCCATGGAAACTAAGTTTCCACGCGGGTGGGGAGAGAGTGAAGGATGGGAAGTAGCTCCTAGAGTCCCACAGTAGGGCTCGACCCTGACGGTCCCTGTCCCAGTTGGCTGCACCCAGCAGCCCTCTGCTCCTCTCGGCATCTTCCCCAGGTCAGAGCCACAGGGGTCAAGGGGCAGAGGGTGCCCCCCACCCATTTGCCAGGCCAGACTGCTTTTCACCCAGCAGCACCCCAAGACCCTCTGCCAGAAGCCCACCCCGGATCCTCCAATAAACAGAACAGTGGATCATCCAAGAGCTGGACACGTGGATTTCAGCCACCAGCGGGGCCGGGCCAGGTGAGAAGCTGGGGGGGAGGCAGAGCTCTGCTGGGGGGCGCACAGTCCCCCAATGCCCGGGGCAGGAAGAGATTCACAGCGCTGGAACGCTTTCTCCCACACGCGGGAAAGTCGAGATCCTCCCTCCCCCTCCACCTCCACCCCCACCCCAGGTAAAGGGCGAGAGAAGTGACCCGGAGAGGAGGGGCGCCCCGGCGCTGAACAAAGCCCACCCCCGCCCCTCCCAGCTCCCCTGGGCACCGCGCCTCAGTAATTAAAATAAGAATTCACCTTCCCTCCCGAGCCATTCATCACCGCCCGGGGAAGCAGCTGCGGCTTAGGAGACCGGATTTGGGGGATTAGCTCGGGTGTTGGAGCAGACACACCAGGAGAAAGAATTAAAAAGGAAGGGGGTGAATTGGGTTTGCTCTCCCCACCTCCTCCCTCTCCCTCTCCCCGCTGCCACCCAGCCTCACACCCCACCTCCCCGGTCTGCCCCCGCGAGGTTGCTGGGAAGTGTAGTCTCCCAGGCCGTGTTGATCAACACGCAGGCCAGGGCGGGGCAGTGGCACAAACTACACATCCCAGGACTTCACCCCGGACTTGGCAGCGGAGTTGGGCACCGACCTCCCTTCCAGAGAGAAGCCCGGTTCCCGGGCAGGGTTAACTCCTTCCTGGCCCACTGGAGGGCAAGCGCCCAGTGACCCAGAGCCAGGCACCTCCCAGCCTTGGGGGTCCAAGCTTACCCACCTGGACGCTGATTCTGGTTTGCTCATCCTTGACGCTGCCAGGGCCCCTCCGAGAGAGGCTATGGCAGTTGGCGGGGTCAGAACACGAGCAGCAACGCATGCTCCCCCACGCTTGGCAGAGATGTAACCCCTCACCCCCATGCCCCATTTATCCCCCCCGCACAAGCAAGGATGGATGGTTGGCCTGAGCAGCAGAGCAGCTCGGAAGCACTCTGCCAGGGCCCCGGGACAGCACTCTGGCGTGCCCTCTGCTCGGGAAGGGGCAGTTTCCAGCAGGTTCCTGCATCTCGGCCCTGTCCGCTTAGGTCCTCTCTCCCCCCCCAGGGAGGGCTCCTGCCTGGCATCTCGGGTGGTCTTAGACAGCTCAGAACCCGTCTGACCTGGCCCAGCAAGGGCAGTTACGTGAACTCAGAACTACCCATTTTCTCCAGACCTGGCCCGCTGGTGGCCCCGAGGCAGAGAGGCTGCAGTGCCGGGCCTGAGGCCACAGAGGTGGGGCTGTCTCCCTCCAGCCTCCGAGTCTTGGAGCTTGGTCTGGGCCCCTGGCCTTGGCCTTGGCCAGGCACTGCTTTTACCCCCTGCCCTGCCCCCCCTCCTTGCGGTTTAAATACACCAACATGACTCAGCACCCCCTACCGAGAGCTTTGGCCTTGCTGGCTCAGTCTCTGGCGGGTCCATCTGTCCCTTCTCCCAGACCTGCCCAGCGCGAGGCCTTCCCCACAAACCAGGCAACAGGACTCTGGGAAAGGACCCAGTTGGGGTGGGCAAAAGGGGGGAGCTGCCCCAACCAGACTTCCGACTAGAGCTGGGACCTCAGGGAAGCAAAGCAAGTGCTGGAGCCCCAAAGCAGGGAGGGCCAAGCTCATTCTGAATCGGGGGAGGAGGCAGCGGAAGGCCTTGGCCGGCCCTGACCTTTGGGCGAGGAAACCCCAACAGGGTACGAAGAAATGCCCTCAAATTTGTGCCTGTTTCTTCCACGGTCTGTGCAGGGACGAGCAGGGAAATAGCCCAAATCAGCTTCAGAAAAAGCCCCAATGACCGGACCCAGGGCTGACAAGAGTGGGGCCATAGGGACATTTGTGGAAATGTCTCCCACAGGGGTCGCAGGAGAGCGCCCCCTCGGTAAGGCCGTTTCCCGTTTTGAGTCTTTGTGACATTCCCAGACCTGCTTCCTCCCGCACCCATTCTAAATTCCCTGGGCCCAGGCTCCCGCTAAGGGAAATGGGCTGTTTCTAGAAACCAATGTCATGGCGTAGGGCAGGGACGATGGGTAGATTCACGCCGCTGAGACGTCACTGACCGTCTGATTTACACACCAAGCACAGACCTCCCTGCTGCGTCCATGGTCGGGTAAGATGGCCAGGCGCTGGCGGGCAAGGGCACCCGCTCTGATGCTGCTTACATCCCAGAATTTCCCAGGATGGCATGTTCAAGGGGGGCAGGTGGAGAGGAACTAGAAACAGACAGGGGGCCCAGGGAGAGCAGGACCCTTCCCAACCCTAGGGGGAGGAGGGCCAAGGGGGAGCTGCGGGCCCGGCTGATATCTTCCTGGGGGCCGGGAGGGCTGAACCTTCCTTCTCCAGGTGGCTGACCTTCCTCTCCCACTCGAGCCCCCAAAGAGTCTGAAGCAGAGCAGGTGAACTGACCTCCAAGGCGGGGAGCCAGCAAAGATGCTGGAGATACGAGCTTCTCTCTTTTTTTTTCTGCTTTTTGGGTCACACCCGGCGATGCACAGGGGTTACTCCTGCCTCTGCACTCAGTAATCACTCTTGGCGATACTCGGGGGACCATATGGGATACTGGAAATCGAACCCGGATCGGCTGCGTGCAGGGCAAACTCCCTACCTGCTGTGCTATCGCCCCGATACTGAGCTTCTCCAGGGCTGCCTAGCCGGTGCCCTGATCTAAGACAGCCCAGGCACCCCCGTCACTGGCCAGAGAGAGGAGCCAACTCCAAGACTCCAAGTATCCCCTGAAGGTCCCCTCCTCTGGATCCTCTCAGCAGGAAACGGCCGCCTGCCTCCTTCCAGAGGAGAAAAAGACTTGGCCAAGGTCAAACAGCCCAGCCCCAGGGTCACCAGATCCTCAGAAGCACCCCCAGGTGGTTGCCCCCTGCTGGCCCTGGGCAGGGAGCAGTTGAGGAGGGTCGCGGGAGGAGCAGGCTCTCGCTGTAGCTCATGGCTTTTAGCCCTACATGAGTTTGGATCAGCAATCACATAGGAATGAAAAGCCATAGGCCACAGCAGAGCGGAGGGGGTCCGGCAGCAGGGGGTTCAGAAGGAGGCCGGGGAGTCGGGGAACTCGCAACCCTTGGGGTTTCCACATCCCCTCGCGCACTCCCAGTACTGAGCCTCCCACCCTTGCCCTCCAGAGGCGGCTCACTGGGATAGGGGCTGGCTTCCAGGCCGGATAGGACCTCCTCTAATTCCTCTCAATTGCCTCCAGCCCCCTGCCTGGGGTCTTTAAGGGTCCCCAGTCCCCCTAGAGGATAAGGCGTGTCCTTTCAGACCCTGGACATCCGCTCACTCCTTCCAAAGCTTAACCCTTTCTAGCCCAGTTACAGGAAGCAGAGCCTGAGCAGGGTCTTCCTAGATCACCGCGGGGGATCACCAAGGCTGGGGGTTAACCCAGGCTCCCTAGACAAGCCCGTGTGGCTCCAAGCTGCTCCCACCGTACTTGGTTTCTGGGGGCTGAAGCTCAGTCTCAGAACAGGTGAGGCGAGCCAAGGGCCTCGAGCTGCCCTGGGAATCACCCACGCTGCGCGGGGGAGGGGGGGCCACGGCCGGGTCTCTCTGCCAGCCAGCACAGGCATCCAGGACCAGTGTAGGGCTGAGAAGAGTCAAGTTGCCAACTGACCGCCTGTCCCCTCTCCTGCGGGCTGGGTACATGGAAGTCCCCGGAGAGGCTTGACCGCTCTCAGGACACCACCCCCAAACAGCACGGAGCTCAGGTGCGTATCAGGCACTGTCTCCCATGCAGCCCCTTTGCCCGGTGCGACCCCCACCCCCGCCGCAGTGACATTTCCGAGATCTCTGCTGGAGCCTGGACCTGCCACCTGCTCCAGTGAGCGCCACACCCCCACGCCCCGCCCATGCGCACACACATGTACAACGCACGCGCATATACACGCACACACATATACACACACGCGCACACACTCACACACAGGCCACCAGTCTCGCCCAGCCTCCCAGGCAACCGGATGGCCTCTGACTTCTTATCTGAACCTGAGGTTATTGGCCCTGAGGCCTCTGGTTCTCCCCTTCCACCCCATGGGGGTCCGCAGGAACTGCAGTCCTCTAAGAGAAACCGGTCCAGAGGCTGGAACCCAAAGGGCCACTCACCTGCTGGTTCCGTGAGGGCCCCTCCTCCACAAGTGTCAGGAGCCGCCTCTGACCTCCCCCCACTCACCCCGCATTCCCGCGCCCGGCAGGCCAGGCCCCTCCCCCTCCCGCGCCTCGGCGGCCCTGGCCTGCGCTCAGCCCGACTCCACTTGACTCATTCCTGAAGATCTGCCCGCGGGGCCTGGTCAGGCAGGGGGGGCGTGAGGGCGGGTCCGGCAGGCAGGGGCCCCAGGTATTCCTTCAACCCTGACGTGGGCCCGGAGAACAAAGGTCTCATTGAGCCTCTGGCTGTCTGGTCGCTGAAGCACAAACCTCTCCTCTCCACTCTCTTTGATCTCACTCCCTCGGAACCAGCCACGTATGACTCACGCCCTCCGCCGAGCCGCGCCAGGCGAGCGCAGTGGACAACTGGTTCGTCCCTCCCTCCCTCATCTCCTTTCTCCCCTTCTTTGCCCTGTTGCTCCCCTCCAGATCTTGTGTGATTTGGGGGCAGGGGACCCCGAGCAGTCGCTTGTCTGTGGTCCTGGCTCCACTCCTCACCTTTGCCACCGCTTGCCACCTCTAGGTCCCCCCATTCCCTTCCCTCCCTCCTTCTTTCAAGACCAGCTGAATCTGGCCTCCACACACCAGCCTGGCCCATTCTTCAATTCCTGGACTCCACTGGTCTGGAGTCCCAGCCGAGGTGTGTCTGTGTGTGTGTGTCTGTGTGTGTGTGTGCACTAATGTATATGTGTGTATGCACGGATGTGTGTGTGTGCACGCACACAATGGGTGTGTGTGTGCGCACTAATGTGTATGCATGGGTGTGTGTGCAGGCATACACACATATGTCTTGGGCATGAAAGCCTCAGCCCAGGCCTAGCTGCCAGCCCCAGCCACCTGACAAGCTCCAAGTAAATGCCGGCAGAAACAGTCACTGCCAGGTGTTTGGGGGCCTAAGGAGTGAGGGGAGGGAGACTGTGGGACAGGGGGAGGCTTGTCACTGGCCTCACTTCCTTTTCTGCTGCTTTTAATCCTTTCTGGCGGAAAAGCAACCACTCAGAGTGGACCTCAGGGAATCACAACCCTCCTCCAGCAGGGGAGAGTGAGGACCCCCGCAGAGATGGAGAGGCACACACACCCCTCCCCCGCCACGGGGCCACATTATTTCTTTCTCTGTCCGGAATGTTAAGACAGGCCACTCCGGGAGAGAGAGAGAGAAACACACTGGCAGTGGGTGCTGGGCCCAGAAACTCCGAGAGAGGCTAAGAGCTCCCAGTGCCCCAAGCCTGCCACCTGTGGCCCCTCCGTGCCCTCGGGTTTTTCCAGGCGGCTGAGCTGATTCAGGGAGGATTC